AGCCCTGTCCAACCTGGCCTTGAACACTTGCCCAGGAATGGGGCATCCAAAACTTCTCTGGGCAACACGTTCCAGTATTTCACCACCCTCATAGTAAAGAATTTCTAATGTCTAATCTAATTATACCCTCTTCTAGTTTAAAGCCATTCCCTCTTGTCCTATCACTACATGCCCTTGTAAGAAGTCCTTCTCCAGATTTATTGTAGGCCCCCTTTAGGTAGTGAAAGACTTATAAGGTCTCCCCTGAGCCCAACTCTCTCAGCCTGTCTCCGTAGCAAAGGTACTCCAGCCCTCTGAGCACCTTCATGGCTCTACTCTGGGCTCACTCCAACAGGTTGATGTCCCTCTTGTGCTGGGGGCCCCAGAGCTGAACATGGTACTGAGGGGTGGGTCTCATGAGAGCAGAGTTGAGGGGGAATATCTCCTCCATCAACCTGCTGGTCCTGCTGCTGGTGTTGCAGCCTAGCATACAGTTGGCTTTCTGGACTGCAAGCACACACTGCTGGGTCATGTTGAGCTTCTCATCAACCAGCACCCCCAAGTCCCTCTCCTCAGGGCTGCTCTCAATCCAATCTCTGCCCAGCCTGTAGTAGTCTGCCTGTAAAGCCTGTCCACCTGTTTTAATTAGCACTTCATACAATCTCTATCCAACTGACTCAAAGGTTTTCAGGTTGCTGTACAATTTTAACCCGATACTTCTGTTCCTTTTGAATTGCCTGCTTTTTAAATGTTGTACACTCCTTCAGCTGTGATAAAACAGTTTTTCTGACATCAACAGCAAGTGATTTAATATTGCTGAGGAATTGAATCTTGCTGTTTGACTGCTGAAAAGTCTTAAATAATATGGTATTAAAATACTACTACTCTTACTTATAAGATTTTAAAGCAATTGCCAGGATGTATTAGTTGTGTTTGTGCCTGTCATTTCTTGCAGCATTGCTGTCACAGGATGGTCACCTAGCCAGATTACGGAAGCTGGATTTGAGTTATAATAACAACATATCTGATGAAGGGTGGGTCATGTTCTGTCAAGGCTTAACAGTATTCAAAGAACTCTCAGAGCTGGATGTCAGTCTTCGCCCATCGTCCTGCCGTGACTGTGGGATGTGGTTCAGTGCATTGTTAGCAGCATCAGCAAAGCTACCTGCCTTGGCAGAGCTGGGAATGCAAAGATGGGTCCTTTCAGAATCGCAGCGGGAACAACTGGAAAGCTTTAATCAAGACAACAAAAGAAACATTCGTTTTGACTGTTGATGGAGGTTGAAGGTTTCTGGTAGGTCTTTCACAAGCAGCACATGAACCAAGTATTAAGTGTTGCTGACTTAAAAGACAGCCCAGTTTTTAGTAATCTCTTCTCATAAGAGCTCTTGAAATAGTTCCACAATTATAGGAAACTGCTATTTAACCTTCTGCATGCGTAGATTATTCCATTTAATAACATACTCTCTCAGATTCTCTGGGCCATGCTCAAGCTACTATATATACTTAATCTTTGTGTTGTGAATACTGCAGTGACTACTGTCAAATGAGCAATGATGATTTCAAATGGACACGTTGCAGGTTTGCCATCAGTAGGAAGTGTTTGCTTATGCAGGTGGGTGGGCAGTGTGAATGTGGCCTCATGTATGTAAGAAAAATGTCTGAAAATACTTGAAACCTCCATGTTTTAAATTTTAGTTTCTTCTCCCCCAAAACTTTTGCCTCTTTGTGAATCTATAAAATTGTGGGATTTGGAAAGCATCCCAGCAACTCAGGATTATATATGAGTCCAGTAAAGAAAATACAGAAGGAGCTGTTCTGCCTCTGCTCAGTCCTTGATGCCATCTCATAATGTAGATAAGTCCTGTGTACAGAATCAGCATAAAATCAAGGTAAGAAGCACTTGATTGGTTTCTTTGCAGGTCTCAGGGGCAAGGGAAATGCTGTGATAGGTTAAATGAGACAGTTGTCCTGCTACCTTAGCAAGGAAGTGTGGATACAGAGCAATCCAAAAGCATTCTATGTAAGGCTATGCAAAGACTTCAGGGAACTCCAGGGATGCTCCTTCTCATCCTGAGCTGTTTCAGCCTTACCCAGACTGCACTTTCTGTACAGACCTTTTTATGACATGCAGTGCAAAAAAAAAAACCAAACAAAACCCCACCAACAAAAACCCTAAACTTCCAGACATGAGTCTGATCTAGAGCATATGAAAGACAGTGGGAGTTCCCACAGTGCCTTCATGCTTCCCACATTCAGGATTAATCCATTAATTTTCACACCACCTTGTGATGTAGACAATGTTCTTATCCTTACCCTAAAATGAAGGAAATAAGCAAAGTCTATTATTGAAAGCCATGGGCAGCTTCTAGCTAAGAGCACAGAATCTTTTAGAGAAAGCACCAATTTGGGATGTGTAAGTGGCTCCTGCTTTTTTTATTTGATAATTTATTAGGCATTTTATTGTATTTGCTTAAACAAAGCCCAATTCTGGCACAGTCACTTGTGTCATGGAGCATGTTAACCCACACGTGAGCTCTAAGACAGCAGTGGGATTATTCGTTGGAAAGGTATTTTAGGAAGTAAAGATATTAGATCTGCCCACTGGGTGAGGAGTCTTAGAGAAATCCTGAGGCAGCTTGAGGGATAAAGTACTGCTCAATCAGCTCTGAGTATATCTACATGCTGCAGCAATCTTGTGGAGGAAAAGCACAAAGTGGCACTTTCCTAACTTGCTAGGGCCCTTCTCATGCAGATGTAGATCAGTATTCAGTCTGGATGACCCTTCCTACATCAACTTCTGGCTGGTCAGGGTTTCTGTAATTTCATCTGAGGGTCTCCATGGACTTCCTGGTTCCAGTTTCAGTTCTACGTGAAAAGTGTGCTTGCCTTCCCCAGCTCTGAGAAACATGGAGTATCTTGGTCAGAGGTAGCAGGGAATTGCTGCAGTGTGGGATCAGTTATTTTCTACAGAGATCCTCAACTTCTGAAATGAAGCAAAGAGCCCCAGTTTCATACAGGGCTACTGAGAGACTGTCAATCAATCAGTGACTTAAGCCAGGAGAGTTATTCTAATGTGGAAGTACCATCATTTCAGTTTAACAGCAGGACACCAACCTCTTTCCTTGATCACTTGCTTTTCCATGCCTTTCCTCCTCAAATCTGCCCCCAGACCAACTGGGAAATTGATGCTTTATCTGCTCTGTGAGAATCTCTGAATCACACCTTTCCCACTTGAACCTCTCTCTCTAATTCAGTAAAGCAGCTGACCTGTTTAATGTCTGGTATTTGTTGTAATCTTACTGACTGAACTGCACTTCAGCGTTGGGGTTTCTTGCTTTGTCATAGTTGGGTGCCGCATTCTCAGCTCCAAAGCACAATATGGACTCACTGCTCGCAACCTCACCACTTGCTGTTCATGATCCCCTTGTCAGTCCTTTGCCTTCTCATGAGTCTCTCATACCTACTGTGCCACTAAAAAGCTTTTATTAAAGCACTTCTATTAAATGTCCTGTCTATCTGTCAGTCTTCCTGGAAATCTCTTTCTTCCAGTGATTTCCTCCTCCACAGCCTCTGAATCATTCTTCTCTCTGTTCCTCTTTGCCTTCATTTAGGGTGAAAAAATTTTGTAAGACACCTCCAAACAATCAAACCAGCATCAGTTACCTAGTAAAATGGAAAATCAAAACTGAGCCATCCCACTTTTCTGCACGCCCAGCTCTCTCCTGACAGCAAGCATATTAATGATATCTCGGTATCCATCGATTCAGGAGCCAAACAGAAATAAGGTCCATACCCTGGGTGCAGATGTAGCCGCAGCATTTAGAGAGCACTACCTGGAGGTGGAGCTCTAGGAAGAGCTGGGTCTCGGTGAGCCTTCCTTCACCACCTTCTTCCCGATGCCACCACCTTCTCTGAGGCAACTCCTTCAAGGGAAGGGACAGCAGGACCACAGGTCTGACCAACCAGTTAAACTAAATAAAGAGGTCTGCTCCCACCCACTTGTGCATTTTAAATCACAGTGGCAGGATCCCAGTCCTGCTCTGTGCTTTATGTATGCTGCAAATGAAACTCTGGGCGGGGGTTTAAGGAGTAATTGAGCAATACAGAATAAAAACTAGACAAGGACATCAGATGTCTAGGACAAACAGCTATCTGTAAAGTGCTGTGGGAAGACATGGCTGCATAGAAATTTGGCATGCTAGAATTCAGTAAGGGATGTTTGTCATGGTTCTTCTGAATAACAAAGATGTTATGGCATGGCAGGACCCAGAATCATTGCTGAATATTGCATTCTATAGACTCCCTGCTTTAAAATAAGCCTGTTGTATGCAGGCATTTTGCAAACTGTCACCAAGCTACCTCAGAGACGAGCTGTGACACTAAAGATTTGACAGCTTGCAGTCATAACTAAAGATTGTCAAAACATCAGAGAACAGTTTTGCAGAAGTGTAGAGAGCTTTTTACACCTCTGTAAGACAGGATGGAAAGGCAGGTTCCAGTAGAAATGCAGTGTTCTGACTGCCTGGAATCCTCCTCCATATTTCCAAACAAGGTATTGATAATTTCTGAATGTAAAACTTGTTAAATGACTGCTAGGTGGGGCCAGAAACATTTCTCTCTAGATATGGCTATACCTCACTGACTAGAAAACACATTTCTAAGAATTGCACGTAAACTGCTTTGGGTTTCAGAACAAACAACACTTACTTGCACCTACAGATTAATTTCCAGTTCATCAGCTGCCTATATGCTTTGAGATAACATGCGTTCAGAATGAGACATCTCAAGAATATTTCAGAATTTGCTTGATTCAGCTGGAGTCAATGTTGACAAAAACACACACAAAAAACACTCAAAAAAAATCATGTTTTCATTGTAACAGTCACTAATTCAAATGCTTTAATACTGCTTGTCTCCTACTTGCTTATGTTGCTCACATTTGCCTTTCTTGTAAATGGAAAGATCTCTGTGAAGTTTACTGCCCAAATACCCCTTAAGTGCAATCCCCTTCTGGTTCATCAACCCATGCCACAAACTTTGGATCTGATAGTCAAGAACAGTCTGGTTACCTGGAGGAAAAGGGTAAAAGCAAATAGTAATGTGGAACAGTAGTACTGGTGGATGTTCTTGATGCAAAAAGCCAGGCACATCGTGTTCTCCAAACCCCCTTTTATTCTGTATTAGTCTATATTATTTGCAGCTAAGACGAACTGTGAGTCACCTGGCTTTTGCTCTGTGTTATTTTTTTCAAGAGTAATTTCTTAGCAGGGAGGACACTAACACTGTAGTCCTCCAGACCCTTTGCTTAAAGTAGTAAATGGCTATGTCTACGCATATTTAAATGCCACTTTTTAGTTCAAAAGAACAGTTTGGGAGAAACAGAGTAGTTCATGAAGAAATTACAGTCATTACAGAAAGACGGGAATAATTTAGGTTCAGAAGAATGAAAGACTGAGGATTTGCCTTTCCTTTCTACTTGCCCTGTATTTTTTTTGAGCAAATTAATCCCACTGGTGACATAGACTGATAGTCTTTTGGGGGAAAAAACCAAGCAAACAAACATAATCGCAAAAAATGTGTTTTGTTCAATGTGTTTGCACAATGAATCTTCAAGTCTGCAGTCAAAATGCAGTCAGCAAGAGTGAAGATGCAACCTGCACTTAGTTTCATCTTTAAGCAATGCCTTGACTTTGAGGATCTGGCTTGGTTTTGGACACACTAACTGAACCTCTTCCACTGGACAAGGAACTAAGGAAGGCTCCCTTGCAAGCTGTAAGGGCTCTTCTGTGCTTGCTGACTGACCTGGCAGGGCAGTGACAACTTTCTGGTAAGTTTTTGAAGGATACTCAGTGCTGTATTTCCTGATGCTTCCATATATCCTACCTTAACACGATCAGTGATAGAAGTATTGCTCTGCCGTAGCTGATGCAAACGGTGGTTGTAGGTGTCGCATAGAGTGCTCTGTAGGTTATTCTGCAAAGTTTCTGTTACTAAAAGCACAGCTTTGTATGTATATTGTGGTGACTTTCTTAAAACCCCTACCTTTAACTTCATGGCCTTTTTATGCCTTTTTCCCCATAAGTATTCCCAGATGGCAGATGTCCCCTGACAGCACACTTCAGTTGGAGGGTCTGCCATAGGGTTCTCATTCCAAGGACCAGCTCCAGCTGCTGAAGATTGTCCAAATCCTTGGGCAGCTGGGACAGGTGATTGTTCTCAATGAGCAGCTTCTGCAAACCTGAACACATAAAAGCAAAGAGCTGCAGCATGAAGAATAAATGATGTGGA